GGCAAAAGCCTACTTTAACCCCTCATCTTATCAAGTTTGAAGGTTTTAGTCTCTTATTTTATATTATAACATTTTTAACCTTTCACCTTACTAAATTTATAGGTTTTAACTTTTCATCCTATATTATAACACTTTTAACCTTTCACCTATTAAAATTTTAAAAAATAACCCTTATTTTATAACATTTTGTTAATTCTGTTAACTAATTGTTAAATCTATTAAGTGACTGTTAATTGATTGTTAACTGTCAAAAATCTTCTTTGAATTAATAAAGTTAACAAAATTAACTTTATAATATTTCGTTAATTTTGTTAATTGACTATTAGTTCACTGCTAGTTGATAAAAATCTATTTTTACCTAACAGAATTAATAGTCAATATAAAGTGAAAACTATTTTTTTAAATTTTAATAAATAAATAGTTAAAACTTATAAATTTAATAAGATAAAATGTTAAAAATATCTTAGTATGAGGTAAGTAAGAGATTAAAACTTTCAAATTTAATAAGATGAAGGACTAAGATTAGGTTTTTACCCCTTCAACGTCCGTGGCACAACAGTAAGCCTAGAGTCGGATTTATCTGCGTTCGTTCAATAGTACCCGTGGTTATGTGGATTTATTACAAAAAAAGCCACTGAATTGAATTTTTCCGACGTCACATCGTTACCCATTGCATCCACACATGATGCGTGGTTCTTTCTAATTTTTTTAACATGATTGTGACTAAAAAGTTTGAAATAATAACAAAAGCTGAATAAAGTAAGTGGTAATTTCTCCCACAAAGATTTTTATCATATTCATGTTTGAATTCTTCTCATTCCCCCAAAATCTCCAACATTTACACTGTATTAAAAATAAAAGTTTGATGGGAATATCATAGTGACATTATGCTGCCGTCTTCTTATTAGAGATTTTTCATGTTAAGAGTTTAAGGTATAGAGTTCAAGTTTTACACTTAACGTAAACAAATAAATAAATAAGTAGAATTTTGAAATAATAAAATTTTAAGCACATCATAATAAAAGTCTTTTATTTTATTTAAATTAGATAAAAATATAAAACAACAATTATTAAGGAGAGAATTCTTGGTATTCAAATTTTTATTTTACTTTTAAAGTAAGTGTTATGTAATTTAATATAGTTTAAATTGTATAATATTCTTGTCTTAATAAGTTAATGTTTTTATTTATTTATTTTTCTTTTTATTTTTAAAATATGATGAATACTTTAACTTAATAAACTAGTACTCTAATACATTAACTAATGGGAGAGTGGTTTAATTAAAGACAAATATGAAATATAAACTCCTATAATTTTGTTTATAAATATTTAATGAGATATTTTTGTAATTATATAGTTTTTTAGCTTAAATTACATAATGAGAAGTAATGTTTTTTTTTTTGAACCCACCTCACTTATATATCACACTACTCAAACTCAAAATCTTTTATCTTTTTGTAAAAAATTAATACTAAATTATTAACTCATTTGATTTTAATTGTATATGTTGAATATGAAAAAGAACAGAAAAGTAGTACGAGTGGTTAATTAGTTTTTCTAAGGTGGGTAGTAAAGTTGTCTCCAAAATTATTGAGATTTGTTTAAATTTAGCTGACTTTATTTCATGGAGAATCTACTTACTCCCCCACATAATCATATATAAATTAATTTCAATTTCTGATGTGAATATGTGATGAAGCACGCATGTTATATGGTGTACACTTTCATAGCCTATAAGCACAATTTTGGTAAAGCACCCCGACTGTGTTCATTCGGCAATGGCCAATGGTTGTGCGCTTAGCAACTTTAAATTAAATATTTCTCGGGCCAGAAAAGAGTTTTTGGAACACGATGACTCAAACCTCCATATGGTTGTTACTTGCAGAGTATTTATTATAGGGTTTTATTAATTAGTAACCTTAAAGTTTATTAAATACATTTTTTTAATAAAAAATTATTTTTTACTATAAATTTGAATTAAAAATATAAAAATTAAATTTTTAATTTTTTGATTATCTAACTAAATTTATTTATTTGATATAAATATTATAATAAATATCAACTTATATATTTTTTTATGAAAAAAGAGTTTGTATTTTAAAGTATATCAAATTATACAATTATAATCATTACATGAAAGTAAACTTTTTAATA